ATTACATGAAATAAATACGTGATTTTATTGCCATGCAAGCAAGTTGTTTCAATCTTCTACTTAATCCCGAAAAATCCCGGGATTATAAGGTTCAATCCCGGGATATCCCGATACCGGGATTTCAAAAACTGGTCCCGAAATCCCAACCCTAAATTTTGGCTACATTCTTACGTAATATAGTTCGTCTGTGCCACCCTTTTTCGTCATTTCTGCTTGATTTATGAAGTCGCACAGCTCATGTTGGCTATAGTTACTTGCTAACTCACTGTTATAAGTTGATTTCAAAAGAAATATAAGCGATTAGGAGAGGGAACACAAGAGAAGAGTGCAGTATGCCTTCCCCCCAAATTTTTCGTGGCGCAAAAACTCTCCCTGTTTTTATTTACATATGCTTGTGGATCTCTGTTCTCAGGTATGAACTTTATTAAGTCTCTTAACAGAAGGAGCAGGAACGATGAAACCAGTAGTTCGTGTATTTCGTTAAAAGTTACAAAATATAAATCCAATGTAAAAACTCTATCAGCGGTAATGCAGCAGCAGAAGTCTCACTGATACAGAAAAAGAAAAGTAACCTTTGTCGGACTGATATTTTCCCGAATAGTGAATCTGTCTAGACATGTTTAAAAGGTTTATTATTGTGTATTTTTGCTTTGAACGTAGCAAAGCATTGTTGTTAATTTGGGTCGGCACGTGGAAGCATTGTATCGTTAAATTTAGCCGATTTTGGCTCTCGAGCCGAAAAAGGTTGCCCACCCCTGCCCTACGCTATTCCGCAAGCTTCCGTCGAACGCAAATCCCAATTTCTTGAACTAAGAGCGCTACCTGAACGTAACAAGGGTAAGCCGATTTTGTACAAATTCATAGAAAATTTAACCGTCTTCAGTTTATAGAATATGAATTCGTTGTCTTACTGTTGAGCATAGTTTTTTTTTTGGTTTTTTTTTGTTAAATTCGAAGAACATGGTTTCTCAAGAGAGTATCAACCACCCAAAGAACCCTTGATTGCGCCATTGTTTGTAGCAGAATAAATTGCAACAAACAGTAAACTTTATTCATTCATTAGATTTATTAGTGACACTTCTGCTGCTGTTTTTCGGTGACCAACTGAAATATACGTGGCTTTGTTTTCAAAAAGAGCAATTCTCATGTCATTTTTGCATTGAAGTCAAGTTCATTTGAGCAGGTATGGTCATACTGCACATAGTCATCAGACCAAGTTCTTTTTTGAATGACATATTCCACAAAAAGACTCCTCTGAATTGCAAAGATTTTGGAAAAAAAAAACGTTGAACCACTCTGAAAATTGCAGTGTAATCTTAGATACCAATACGCTGTGGCAAATTGACCAGTGTCATGTCACAATGGCGTCGCCGGCCCAGGCCTCGTTAGCTAAATGATGTTTTTATGTTATAAAAGTTGTGTCGATGGAAAGGGGCAAACTACAAAAGAAAAATGGCAACATTGGTGATCCAGAAGCGGAGATACTGTAGACCAGTGGTCGGCAACCTTTTCCAAGTGACGGACCGGTAAAGCTTGATCAAACTTTTGGCGGACCACCTTTATACAAACGAACTAAGCCTATGCAATGATTTATACGCATTAAGAAATTTATGTTGACAATATACTAAAAACGACGGTGATGCTGTTTAATGTGATGTCTGTATTTGTTTGATGGCCATTAACTGTTCCCATATTTGAGATATGGTCGACATTGACACACGTAACGGGTTTCTTACTTCCAACCTATTTCGTTTTTGTAGTTTTCAATATTGAAAACCACAATGTCATGCCTCACATTAAGATTTCGGGTAAGTTAACAATGCCTGTATCGTTTTGTTGGGGAAATCTTAGTCGGACTGATGAGAGACATTCTTACACGAGTGTAAAGAAAACAATTGACCCAGCATTATTGCGACATACTGACATGGCAATTGTTTATGAAATCAGACATGTTGCTCAATAGTGTTATGCAGTGGTCGGCAAACTTCATGTACTTGCGGGCCAATTATAAACATTTCCGGTAGCGCGCAGGCCGCTATAAATCCGCCTTCGAAAAATCGCTACCATAATTAAACTTCAAATTATGGCGCATTCGCATTGCTACCCTTCTATTGCTGTGTTAAAAGCCTGCCCCAATGAGATGTATATGTGGCGTTTTATTATTATCCACCAATACATTGTTTTTATGTACTTATTATCAATGTGAAAGATGATGTTATTATGGCAACTCGTCATCCAAATGATGATCTGACAAGCGAGTACGAAATTTAATCTAAGTGTAATGCATTTTAGATAAAGCTGCTCAAGGCCATAAGTTCTTCCGGGTCTCGTGTTCGAATTTTCAACGACTCGTTTCGTAACGAGTTTAACATTGAAACCCTTAACAAACTGCGATGCTGACTAGGCATATCGAGCAAACCTGTTATGGAATGCGCAAAAAAGAAAAATATTTTTCCGTTCAAGCACTATGAAATGCTCGACCCGCGTCGCTCCGTTTTCCAGACATTTTCAAATTTTAAAAATCAAAATTCGAACGACATATAACTGACGCTACTTGTTACATAAGAAGCTCCGCACTTGTCACCACATAAATCCGTGTAGAGACAATAATAAATTTGGGATTAATTTTTGTTTTATTTATTAAATGTCGGATCGTTCAAGGGCCGCAACAAATTAGTTCGCGGGCCGCATTTTTTCCGACCCCTGGTAATGTGTTTGTCTGGTGTATTGTTGGGTGCTGTTTTTTAGTTGTAGGGTTTGTGGTTAGATTGTAGAGGTTTTATTACGGCATTGTCCGTTTTTGTGTCACCTCTCTGCGGACCGGCAGTAACCTTTCCGCGGACCGGCGATGGGCCGCGGCCCGGTGGTTGCCGACCACTGCTGTAGACATTGGTGGATCAAGTCATACACACTGCAGATTTAAACCTGCTCTCAGATGAGTATAAAGCATATTAGGATATGTATATGATTTTAATTAAGCGCTATATTAGGGTCGTCGACAGGGGATGATATTTTTAAGGAGGCTCCGTCATGAAATATTCTGTTTTGGAAATTCAATTCAAATCGTTCAATGAAATTCAAACGTGCCCAGATTTCTCATACATTTATGTGCAGTTATTATAATAAACTTGTTCGTACAATTGAACCAAGTTTTATTAGTAGGCTAAGTTATAAAAAACATGCCGTTTACGCAAGTATTCGATTCAAAACCCCGAGATTTGTAATAACAACCTTAGATATTTGGAAGTCAAAAAGCCTTTAAAAAAGAGGTCAAAGGAGGTATATCCAAGCGCATGACGTCTCTTATTGACAAGTCTTAAAGCATTTATCTGCGCAATACTACACATATATAAAGAAGCTATTCTATGAATTTTCCGGATGTTGAAAATGGGATATATGTTTTAAATTATAGTTATTTTTACATATTTAATACACTCGGAAATAGAAATTCTTCATAATTGGCGCGGCGGTGTGGCTCAACGGGCTAAGCGTTAGGATTACGCTCGCCACCGCACCTCTAATTACTCTGTGTGGGTTCGCAGGTTCGAATCCCATGCAGGGATGGTTATGTGCGAGAGGATTGCTGGACTCCTCGCCGTCGTTGGGTGGTTCACGTAACCGCTGGTCGGTTACAGCTTCCTCTACCACCAAGTCCATGCTTCCGAAAAAAAACAATATATATAACTAATTCCATACCCGACTTGGAGTGGTATCCGGACGAGAGGCCGTGGTTCGCCATATGGATAAGCCGTCTTATCGGCTTTTCTCTCCCCCGGGACAAATATGTAAATTCTATCCTATCCATAATACACAAAAAGTTCGCAGGGCATTCGTCGAACCCCTGGTAAGATTCTTATGTAGCATTTTCCACGTAATTTGGTAGGAGAAGGACTAACATGTTATACTGCTTGAATTAACTTCAACGAAAATGAACTTTGACATTACCATTGTATTGAAAATTCCGATTCAAATGCAACTTACACGCAGTATAAATCTTGGTACGAACGGTAGTCTTTTGTCAATTTTGTTCCTAAATACCACGATATTCATGTACACTGTTTACCTTTGGTGTGTTGGGAAGCCGATGTGGACTAAAACGCCAACGTGTAAATATTATATTTAGGACCCTTAGAAGATTTAATAAAATGCTTTCACGATGGATTGGTAAAGTGGGATCATTATTCGTCGGCCAATCCATACCCTACTTGTCAAACCGTCAAACGCTCGATCCACGGATTTGGATCAAATGGCCTGATGAAGCAACGCCATTTCGGTGACGCTGACAGAAAATAAAAAGATTTCTCGCGGACTGGTAAAAAAAGCGAACACTAAAAGAGCAGAGTAGGCCTAAGGGGCGCCCCAGAAGTGTGTGTATCAATATGGAGGTAACTGGTTTTGTTTGGCTACTTTACATCAAGTTTTGTAAAGGGACGGAAGCCTATGGGCTGGGTATATATTTACTTGGCTAACACAGACAGTCTCCGAACTCGTAATAGAACTAAAAATAGGGAAAATCGGAATAAAATTATGACCCAACTAACCCTAACCTGATACACACACTATGGGAGCAAACACGAAAAGAGCACGCAGAGTAGGCCTAAGGGGCGCTCCAGAAGTGTGTGTATCAATATGGAGGTAACTAAATTTGTTTGCCTACTTTACAAATTTAATGTTAATTCATTGCTCAATCGTCATTCTGCAATTGAACCCCCTATCGCCAAAAAACTCAATCAGATCTCGCACGGCAATTTTTTTTTCAACAAGCAATTAATCACATTCACCTATGGCTCCTAAAGAGCAAAAATAATTGCGATATTGTGTCAAAAAAGCTGTTGAACAAAGAACACATATTACACCACACTGTAAAAGTGTTGATTACCAATGGTTAATCGTGTTGCGCAATCTGTGACGTCAGTCTCGTTTCTTTTTAGCCACACCTCGTACATCATTGTTTCGATTTGTTCCCATATTTTTTGACAGAAAAGTCACAATTTGCAAAATTATGGCGATTATCAAAATTTTTTATTCATTTCCAGTTACGTAATTAAGGTAACAAACTTTGTGCCGCATATTCAGTTTTACTATTTAATAACGTATGTAGCACAAATGTTCAGTTGCAAATATTAAAACATAAGACATGTAGAATAATTTTAAAGACACTATTTCATCGTAAAAATATAGCAATGATTAATACTGAAAATATTCCCCTTCCCTCGGTTAATATAAAATTCTGAAAGGTTCGACAACAGATGCTCATTACGCCCCATGAAAGAACGTCTCCAATTCGCACAGTCGGCCGTGCCAGCTGTTACATTTAAAGAAGCTTAACTGCTCGCCGACCTTTCATTAATTACATAGCTATGATGGTTAATGGCTAGCTACATGCTCTGATATAACGAAATGGACATTGACTATAAAGTTAGCACTGTCAGCATGTACATATTACCAGAGACACCCGGATGATATATATATATATAGCCAAGCAGAAAGTGCAGTTATTGATTTAATTCTTATGCAAATATTTTTATGATTCTCCATTGCTGAAAACGAGGCAAGATGCAGCATAAATATATTTCACACTTATATATAAAAAAAAATGACAACATATGTACATTACTTGAAACATGAACAGCAGATCTATGGTTATACAGTGTCATGAAACTTTAAATTGAAACGGATTTTGATTCACTAAGAGCAGATGTACACTTTAATTAGTATATATACATTATATACAGAGTTGAATAGCATACACAAACAAACAAAAAACTTCACTCGTCATCAATAACATTTTTCGTTACCTTACATAAAAAGACCTTTTGTTAAGATTATAAACTTATATTTCTTTATCATTACATCACAATAATTTGAATCGCAATAACCATATTTAAAAAAAAAATTGTGCCATCAATCCATGCACTTACGATAGGCCGGATGCCGGATGCTAAATTACTACTTTATTGCTAATCTATTCCTTGCTTGCAAAATTTTTTAAGTTTAACTGGCAGGGGTAGAAGGTCTATTTTTTGAGCCAGTTTCTTTTCTACACCAACATAGTCTTCAGTATCAGCCATGAGCATCGAGCTGCTTCGCCTTGTTCCCATTTTCGGGGTATTTGGCTCCAACATAGTCATCAGAAGGTGATCTCGTATAGTACATTTGCACATGACACCTAAAGATGCTGGAGTTGTCGTTAATGTCAACACATCATATTCTCTGAATAAGTATTCCTTGTCATTGTATGGAATATAAAGACACTTGTGAGTTCGATGAATCTTTCCTGGAAAGCTAACCTGTATCAAATAATGAAACACAATATGCATGAACATGATAACCAACCAGCAATAATCAACTTGATTAATTTTCGGAGTTTTATATTGAACAGTACTGGAAGTGTGATACATTCTTGAATTAGTTTACCAGAAATAATCATTTTGATAAATCGGAAACTGTTATTGATTCAAAAAAATACATAAAACTCACAATCATCTTATTTGTACCATCATCAGATTCATTGCTTTTCACTAAACAGTCACTCATTGATTGATGTCTGTTAGTCAATGAAAGACTCATAGATTCTTCCCCTTTTGACTGAGATATATTTCCACTGCTTTAAATACATCGAATAAATATACAAATTAAGTATAAATTTTAACAGGCCACAAATGAAGTTTGAACTACCAGTATTAGTATCTAGTCAAGTAGGTAAAAATGTAAAATAAGCAGTCGATGTACCCAAGTTGGAAAGTGTCCTCATAAAAAGTTTAGGATTAATCATAATATTCCAACCTACGATTACAGCCCAGATACCTGAATAAATTCATTTGCAAAGACTCAACTTCTGACTCAATACTCGAATATTGCCTATGATGGCATCGCTTATATTGCTTTACTCCATCAAGAATGAATTCAACTATAACATAATAAGCCCCAAAGTTCATAAAAAGAGGAACAGGAATTCGAACAATGGAATTCAAGACTGAATTATAATTAGGAATTGAACCTCAGTAAATTAGCATTAAAAATTTGGCTGGCATTAAAATACATACCTGCACTCATCGGAAGTCGAATCTGAATAATCAGGCTGATTTGATTGAAGAACCTGAATGAGAGAGTAATGAAGAACTTAAAACTTGGGAGATTTGAGTTTCGAGTATGTAACCTCACGATACTGTAACAACTTTCTTGCTCTTGACAGGATAAATAGTCTGGGTCGATTAGATTTATTACAGGCAAGTAAATTAGCGCTTTCCCATTCAGATTTATCAGACAATAACCTTTTTCTAAACAAAGTTCTAGAGTACGACAGGACTAATAATATTTTATGGAGTTTAGATACTTGAGAAATTCTCAGCACTTTCTTACATACGCAACACATTTTCTGCATTGTTTTTAGGATGGATTAAAGGGGACAGATGAGTGTATGATGAATTTTGAAAGAGTTCATGCAAAAAGGGGGTTGCATCGATATGCCATTGTGTTTATATGTTGACTGACTGCATTGAGAAGGAACATATGAATGTTGTTGGTTATGCCCCACAGTACTGGAACTTGTGTCCTGTGCACCTAATATGCCTTGTTGTTTTGTTGAATGAATTGTTTCATGTCTCAGCAAAACTGATTTCAGTATGCACATGTACAATTTTTTCCACTTGTAAATTGAATTTCCACTCGAAAGCATGCAACAAGTAGCAGAATTACCTCAGAATCACCAGGAAATCTTTGACCCCGCCATGTTCTACCATAGGTTAAATTTCCCCTTGTCCTTCCGATATAAAGAGGCTCAAGATACGAACAATCAATACCACCAATAACTGCATTTATGGGAACCTGTAAATATCAAAATATTTGAAAAAGCACCTTGGTTGGGTCGAAAGATTCCTGTTATCCAAAAATAGGTAATTTCCTCTGGTGTTAATTGATGATATTTATTTAAAAAAAGGGTTGTAACTTGTAATTGTCAGAAAAATATATCCTTTTCCAATATGTGAAATTCTTTGATATATAATGAAGATAATGAGCAATACGTGAAATTTCATGGAGATGCTATATCATAAACTACTGCATGGCATTTACTCGAACATAGTGCATTTTTTAAAATTATAAATTCAAAGAGTGAATTTTGAGCTAAATGCTCAACTGAAATGATGCTTATAAAGCAGGATGTAGAAGAGAATATAAAAAACTACTTTGTGGGTCAATTGCAATTAAGTCGACCACAGTGAATTTCAAATTTGCATGCCAAACATGGTACTACTAAATCACCACCATCAGCATCAATGAGTTGATGCAAACTATATCGCAAATTTCAATAAGTATCGGGTACTCACCTCGCCAGCATTGCATGGAACCCAATGAACATATCGTGGGTCACTTGTTACCAGGACTTCATATTCATCTGCCTTTCGTACGCCCGTTCCAAATGGGATGACAAGTTGCCTTGAATTCAAGAAAAATGAATTGGTATCACTTAAGGCAAACTGTAAAAAGTGTAATCCATTATTATGCCAGCAAGATAATTGTTGGGAGGGCAATGAGAACATAAATTGTTAAGAACAACTTTGACTGTAACATAACATACATGCAATAAAGTCATAAAAGTCTAATAAAAATTCATTATTTAACAATTCATTGGGGTAATAAAAATGGTTCTTATCTTATTATACTATGTCACTAGCATAATGTAAGCCAATTATATAGCAATTTTCAAATATATTCTCGTTTAGTAGGTTGCTTTGTCGCAATAATGAGCTTAAACAGCACAGAGGTCGCGAACTAATGATCCATAAGTCTCAGATTGGAAGAATTGCAGAAAAATGCAACCTCAAATTTATCCATGATTAATAAATCTATCAACCACATTCATCTTTATCATGATAGAAATATGTGACCAATTCAATAAAAAAGTAAGCCATATTTATCCCGGGGGAGAGGAAAGCCGATACGACGGCTTATCCATATGGCGAACCACGGCCTCTCGTAGTTACCATTCCAAGTCGGGTATGGGATTAGTTTTACTGTATTGTTTGTTTTTCGGAAGCATGGACTTGGTGGTGGAGGAAGCCGTAACCGACCAGCGGTTACGTGAACCACTCAACGACTGCGAGGAGTCCAGCAATCCTCTCGCACATAACCATCCCTGCATGGGATTCGAACCTGCGAACCCACGCAGAGTAGTTAGAGGTGCGGTGGCGAGCGTATTCCTAACGCTTAGCCCGTTGAGCCACACCGCCGCGCCATCCTTACTATATAATATTTTTGTGAGTCAGTATTCATTTGTCAGTTTTTAACTTGATATGGACTTGTTATGTTGGGACTTCTGGCAAACCTGTTCAATAAAAAAAGCCCAATGGTGCCGGGCATGGAAAGATTCGGTTAGAAATCAGTATTCACAAATGCCAACCCCATTGATAATCATTATCTGAACTAACAATGCAGTAACAAAAGCTGTCATCAACACCTTTGTACTGTTGTACAGCAGATCCGCAGGTAGAATGGTTAGGGCATGTTAGGTCAAGTCCAAGATTTGTCTCTTTTTTATCTTTTTACGAATACTGTAACACAGTAATAGTCTAATAAATATGATAGGATTAGGAATAAGCTCACTTTTCGCTTGGGATCAGCACTCCTGGTGTGAGTTCATTGCGATTTTCTTGTAACCTTGTTCTACCAATGTATATGAGTTCACCATTGAAGGATTTTCCTCCGCAAATTGCACCACTTGGAACGAAGCCATGACTTGCTTCCTCCCAACGCACAGCGCTTACAACAATCGGCACATTCAAAGGTGTATATTCCTCAGATAAGAACATAATACAGTAATACCGATATCTAAATATTATGACATATGAGACAGAACAGGGTTATCATACTTTAAAGACAGAAAGAAGGTAAACAGACATGGTACTGTAACTAAATACAGAAATAGCCTAAGTTGATAAACTATGATCAGCCAATCATGAAAACTTCAGACTTCTGAAACTACTGAACTAGGGCAAGAAAGATTAGACAGAGGTAAATGAAGTAGTATGCTGCTGTACCGGAACACTGAAAACAGAAAAGGAATCTCCAAATGAAATCATTAAAATGCTGAAACAGAAGGTGCTCGCGTATTTCTGTATTTGGAAGTCTTCAGCTGACGAAAAATAACTGACAGACTGAATAAGTAGCCTAGTTAAGAAGTAACATTACCAGTACAGGACTGGCTATAGGAAGTAGGTATCAAATCATTGAAAAGCCTAGATTCTAGAAAGAACAGTCCGTTAGTGCAGTACGGTAGTGAGGCCGTGAGGGTTTGCACTATCACCCAAATGACTAGTTTGAACTAGGCCAAATGAAACAAAAAAAACATCTATTTTTTAGCTGCCGAGAAGATCAGGATTATCTACGGTACATTTTGAGGCAAAATAGCCATTTTTGAGGAATTTTAGTTTGGATCACTTTTTTGTTAGAAGTAGCCTAGTTCAGTAATTTTTTGCCCTAACACAGGGGTTCTCAACCCTTTTTTTGTCAAGTACCCCCCGAGTCGCGAAACAATCAATGCGAACCCCCGGTAATCAGACACCGAACAAAGTAGTAATATACTGCAGTACTGATATATTGACTAACAATTTGTTGCAAAACCAATTTAATGACCATATGTCTGTATGTAACTAAATTAAATCGTCTTGTTGATATTATTGCCCTTGTCGTCTGCCTAACTAATGAATTCTTATATTCTTTCCCAAGTTTCAATAAGCATAATTACTTCTCCAATGCTCGCAGCACACTGTATTTAGAGATTTCACAGTTTGTACGTAAAGCCTTGAATTTCACATTGTTGCATCACAATCACAACAACGCAAGATCAGGGAAAATCTACTTTCTTGATTGGCGTCTAGTTTCAATGGGCACGCATTTTCTCATGGTACCGGTAGGCACCTAGGTAAAGCTAGCGGCCACTTCCAGCGGACAGTTACCAATTTTTCCAAATTTGAACCCGCCATGTTTCACGACAGTTGTCGCGAATTCAATTAATTGCGGCTACATGGATGCAAAAAATTTGGCGATTCTCCCTTTTAGAAACTGACGACAGACCAGAAACATAATAAAAAAAAAAAAAATGATTGAAACAACACATTTTTTCCTCGATAAAATGAATTATTGCTCAGAAACTCATTTATCGACAAAATCTAAAATTTAACTGAGTTGAAGCGTAATTTATGCAAGAAATAATTTTTTCTCATCCAATTCATTAATACAGTGAATTTGATGAAGATGTATAAAACATATATTAAATTTTAAAACAATTCCACTATGCGGAAAGTTAGGAAATACCCCCCAATTTAAGGAAAATTTTTAAGAAATTGTCAATATAACTCGGTTGAAGCGTAATTTATGCAGGAAATAATATTTTCTCATCCAATCCATTAATACAGTGTATTTGGTGGACAAATATAAAATACATATTGAAATTTTAAAAAAATCCACCGTGCGGAAAGTAGGAAAATTCCCCTCAGTTTAAGAAAAAAATATAGAAAATCTCCAATTTAACTCAGTTAAAGCGTAATTTAGGTAAGAAGGAATTTTTTCTCATCCAATTCATTAATGCAGTGTGTTTGGTGGACAAATATAAAATACATATTAAAATTTGAAAAAAATCCACTATGCGGAAAGTAGGGAATTCCCCCTCAATTAAAAAATATATATAAGAAATCGTCAATTTGACTCAGTTAAAGCGTAATTTAGGTAAGAAGGAATTTTTTCTCATCCAATTCATTAATGCAGTGTGTTTGGTGGACAAATATAAAATACATATTAAAATTTAAAAAAAATCCACCATGCAGAAAGTAGGGAAATTCCCCTAAATTGAAGAAAAAAATACAAGAAATTGTCAATTTGACTCAGTTAAAGCGTAATTTAGGTAAGAAGGAATTTTTTCTCATCCAATTCATTAATACAATGTATTTGGTGGACAGATATAAAATACATATTGAAATTTAAAAAAAATCCACCGTGCGGAAAGTAGGGAAATTCCCCCCAATTTAATGGAAATATTTAAGAAATCGTCTATCCAACTCAGTTAAAAAATAATTTATGCAAGAAAGAATATTTTCTCATCCAATTCATTAATACGGTGTATTTGGTGGACAAATATAAAATACATATTAAAATTTTAAAAAAATCCACCGTGCGGAAAGTAGGGAAATTCCCCTCAATTTAATGAAAATATTTAGGAAATCTTGTATCCAACTCAGTTAAAAAATAATTTATGCAAGAAAGAATATTTTCTCATCCAATTCATTGATACAGTGTATTTGGTGGACAAATATAAAATACATATTAAAATTTTAAAAAAATCCACCGTGCGGAAAGTAGGGAAATTCCCCTCAATTTAATGAAAATATTTAAGAAATCGTCAATTTGACTCAGTTAAAGCATAATTTAGGTAAGAAGGAGTTTTTTCTCATCCAATTCATTAATGCAGTGCTTTTGTTGGACAAATATAAAATACATATTGAAATTCAAAAAAAATCCACCGTGCGGAAAGTAGGGAAATTCCCCCCAATTGAAGAAAAAAATATAAGATATCGTCAATTTAACTCAATTAAAGCGTAATTTAAGTAAGAAGGAGTTTTTTCTCATCCAATTCAATAATACAGTGTGTTTGGTGGACAAATATAAAATACATATTAAAATTTAAAAAAAATCCAACGTGCGGAAAGTAGGAAATTCCCCCTCAATTAAAAAATATATATAAGAAATCGTCAATTTGACTCAGTTAAAGCGTAATTTAGGTAAGAAGGAATTTTTTCTCATCCAATTCATTAATGCAGTGTGTTTGGTGGACAAATATAAAATACATATTAAAATTTAAAAAAAATCCACCGTGCGGAAAGTAGGGAATTCCCCTCAATTAAAAATATATATTAAGAAATCGTCAATTTGACTCAGCTAAAGCGTAATTTAGGTAAGAAGGAATTTTTCTCAATCCAATTCATTAATGCAGTGTGTTTGGTGGACAAATATAAAATACATATTAAAAGTTAAAAAAAATCCACCATGCGGAAAGTAGGGAAATTCCCTCAATTGAAGAAAAAAATATAAGAAATTGTCAATTTGACTCAGTTAAAGCGTAATTTAGGTAAGAAGGAATTTTTTCTCATCCAATTCATTAATGCAGTGTGTTTGGTGGACGAATATAAAATACATCTTAAAATTTTAAAAAATCCACCATGCGGAAAGTAGGGAAATTCGGTACTCTCGAAATATGGACACAAAGATGACGCACAACCTGAATATAAAAGGTGTACCAGGATAGGTTCAGATTTAGAATCTAGATTGTACGCTTTTGGGAACGCAGGGAATTAACCCATTTATTGGCAAAAAATAATTTTTTCTCATCCAATTATTACATACAAGTGTATTTGATGGACTATTATATAAAATATCATATTTAAAATAAAAAAATCCACCCGTGCGGACAGTAGCGGAAATTTCCCCCCAATTTGATGAATAATAATTTTGAGAAATCGTCTATGGTTAACTACAGTTTTTAAAGCGTAATTTTATCCAAGAAATAGAATATTTTCTCAATCCCAATCATAAATACGGTGTATTGGTGGCAAGATTATAAAATAATATTTAAATTTAAAAAAAAAATCCACCGTGCGGAAAGTAGGAAATTTCCCCCCAATTTAATGGAAATATTTAAGAAATCGTCTATCCAACTACAGTTAAAAAATAATATAATGCAAGAAAGAATATTTTCATCCAATCATTAATACAGTGTATTTGGTGGACGAATATAATACATATTAAATTTTAAATAAAAATCCACCCGTGCGGAAAGGTAGGGAAATTCCCCCCAATTGGATTGAAAATATTAGAGAAATAGTATATTTAACTCAGTTTAAAGCGTAATTAATCAAGAAAGAATATTTTCTCATACCAATTCATCAATACGGTGTAATTTGGTGGGACAAATATAAATACCTATTAAAATTTTGAAAAAATCCACCGTGCGGAAAGTAGGGAAATTCCCCTCCAATTTAATGAAAATATTTAAGAAATCTTGTATCCAACTCAGTTAAAAAATAATTTATGCAAGAAAGAATATTTTCTCATCCAATTCATTAATACGGTGTATTTGGTGGACGAATATAAAATACATACATATTAAAATTTAAAAAAAATCCACCGTGCGGAAAGTAGGGAAATTCCCCTCAATTGAAGAAAAAAATATAACAAATGGTCAATTTAACTCAGTTAAAGCGTAATTTAGGTATGAAGGAAATTTTTCTCATCCAATCCATTAATGCAGTGTGTTTGGTGGACAAATATAAAATAGATATCAAAATTTTAAAAAAAACCACCGTGCGGAAAGGAGGGAAATTCCCCTCAATTTAATGAAAATATTTAAGAAATCGTCTATCCAACTCAGTTAAAGCATAATTTATGCAAGAAAGAATATTTTCTCATCCAATTCATTAATACAGTGTATTTGGTGGACGAATATAAAATACATATTAAAATTTTAAAAAAATCCACTGTGCGGAAAGTAGGGAAATTCCCCCCAATTTGTTGAAAATATTTGAGAAATCGTCTATTTAACTCAGTTAAAGCGTAATTTATCCAAGAAAGAATATTTTCTCATCCAGTTCATTAATACAGTGTATTTGATGGTGAATATAAAACGAATATTAAATTTAAAAAATATTCCACCGTGCGGAAAGTTGGGAAATTCCCCTAACTTATGTTAAAATCAACGGAATCGTAAATTTATATAAAATAAAGCGAAAGCTTGTCATATTTATTGATCATTCCCATTCGCCTCCATAACTATATATTTTCTTTGAAGTTTTATC